ACACTATTCCTGATTGCTGATTTTTGAATTAATTCAACTCTAATCACCTCCTAATAGCTAATTAACATCTTCCACTATAAATATAGGCCTAATACTTCATATTTCAACAAGAAACAAAGCTCCAAACATCCTCCCTTTATATTTTAAGTGTGCTCATTCTTTTATTCATTATTTTCAATATTTTGTCTATTTCAAGAGCCTTAAATTCCTAAATTTTATACACACACTTTGAGCTTGTGTTTCTAGTTATATACTCTCATATTCATAAGTTTATATTGTATTTTTGAGAGAGTATAATTTCCTTCTACACCGGCTAAGTTTTGTTCTTCATTTTTATATTCTAGCTGTTGTGTAGAATCCTCTTTTGTGTTCTTCAAACACACCTGCTTACGGTCGAGAATAGCCGTTAAATTCTCACGTTGTAACGGTTAAGGATAGCCATATAAATCGTTGTGTAAAGGTTCAAGGATAGCCTTTGAAATCCTTGGGGAAACAGTTGAAGATAGCCGTTAAATCTTCGTTGTAAACGGTTCAAGATAGCCGTTGTGAAATCTCAGAGTAATCCTATTGGCAAGGGTTGTTTGCCAAAACTAGTGCAGTGCTTTGACGGAGTTCGAGAGACCGGGACTTAGTGGATTCGGAAATCATTGAGGAGGAGCCTCGAGGTACTGGAGTAGGGGTTTCCCGAACCTGTATAAAATCGGTGTGCATTTTATTTACGCTTTTATTTCTGCGTTTTATATATTGCTTCCGCATTTGCCAACACCGTTTTTATCAAACTCCGAAAAGATTTTAAACGCCTTATTCACCCCCTATAAGGCATGGGCACAACAACTAAACCGACTAACAATTGGTATCGGAGCAGTTTCGTAGTTAAAAGTGCTTAACCGCATCTACGACAAAGATTCACTTGTTGTGTAATTTTTAGAATCTCAAACTTTTATTATTTTCTTTAAATTCAAATTTATTAAAAACAATGGCCCAAATGGACTCTCAAAGCATCCACCGCCCTCCGTTTTTCAATGGCCAAAACTATTCTTATTGGAAAATGCGGATGGAATATTTTCTTCAATCAATTGATTATGATTTATGGTTGAATGTACTTCACGGGCCATTTTTGCCGAGTAGTGGTGATTTTGCAGGTTTGTCTTCGGAAGACAAGAGGAAGGTATCAATGAATGCAAAAACAATTAACATTTTGCATTGCTCTCTTGGTCCCGAAAAATTCGCACGTGTTTGCTATTGCAAAACGGCTAAAGAGGTGTGGGACCTACTCCAAGCTACACATGAAGGAGACACCTCAACAAAACAAACCATGCTAGCCCTCGGGAATTCTGAATACGAATCCTTCAAGAAAGGGTCATGTGAGACAATCCAAGATATGAACAAGAGGTTCAATGAGATTGTCAACAAATTGAGTAAGTTGGGTAAGACGTATACTACTTCCGAGCTTAATACAAAAATTTTATTTTCTTTACATAAAGAATGGCATAAGAGTATCATAGATTTTTTACCCAAATGTGATAAGGCCGAAACCGCCCACATTTGGTCTTCCTTGTATTCTCACGAACTTTTGTTGAGAAAGATCAAAGAGGAAGAAATGCGTGAAAATCCCAAACTTACCAATGCCTTCAAAGCATCGAAAGACTCGTCTAGTGAAGAGTCGAGTGAATCAAGTGATGATTCAAGTGACTCAAGCTCTTCGGAAGAGTCAAATGATGAAGAAGATGAAGAGAAGGCAATAAGAATGAAATATACGGATTTCCTCAAATGGAAGAAGTATGTGAAGAGGAAAGAAGTATTTTGAAAGACGAAAAAAGAGCGGCATAAGCCAAGGTAAATTCTTCTCACTTATTGGGATAAGATATTTTGTTTGGTTTTAATTATTTCAAAAATAAAACCTTATCCCATACATGCTTTTATTTGCTTTAGCCTTGGTTTGCATGATTAAATAATTTTTTTTACAATTCATCTTTAAATCATGTTTTTTAGAAAATAATCCCTAAAAATCCCTAAAAAAATAAAGTTTTTAAACTTGCATAATTTTAGGGGTAGTTTTCGTTTTTTAGGGGGAGTTTTGTTGTAAATGCACCTTTTAACTATCATTTTTTTAAAAAATCATTTTGATAGGGGGAAGGTTTTCAAGAAGTTATACATGGTTAAAATTTTCAAAATGCCCTTTTTGATTTTGACAAAAGGGGGAGAAAATGTATACTTCAAAGTGGTGCG